TGTATCATCAGCGCTGTGTCTCTCTCTCTGCCAGCTCCCAGATCAGCTTCTCTGATTGGTTGACGCGGCGCGTCGAGCAGCAAAAATTCAATTTTTCCATCTCCAGCAGCAGCGAGTGTGCGGCGCGTCACGCGCGTCAGATGCTTAAACGCGCCCGACGCGCTGCTTCAGCGCCTGCTGCTCAAAACGCGCCGCGGGACCTTTTGCCGCGCCTTGACGCGAGTCAACCATGGACTTTGCATGTAAACTCGCTGCTTCTGTCGCGCCAGCTGCGTCCGGTGTGAACGCAGCATTATGTGTAAATGGTGGTAACAGTGATTTTAGTTTTTTAAGCATATGCACGGATCGATCAATGGCACTTTTTTAAATTTCGTTGTTCTTGTGACAATGACAATAAAGATAAATTGCAAATTGCAATCGCAATGTCTGAAAACAAGATTTAGTTGGGCTACTCTATAAAGCCTCAAACTCAGCGCTATTTCTGACATTTTGAATTGAAAAAGCTTCCTGGATGGGAAGAGAAACATCTTCAAACTTGGAAACAAAGTCCAGAGGATCGTTTTTTTAGTTTATAAATAACCACATAACCTGAGAGCTGCTTTAACAATGCTCCTTCTTTCCAATCCCCCCAAAACTTGGACATTATTCTTAATTTTGTGATATTCCAGCTGTGATGTAATGATTCGGTTTAAGAGGAACTAGGCAGTCAGATGAGTGAAGGACATCTTTGGTGGAGTTAGAGATGTGGAACAGCCTTCGTTCTTCACAATTTTCTGATGTTTAATGTGCAAATTAAGTGTAATAGAATAATAGACTAAATCATATTTCAGTCCTAAAAGAACCGTAATAAAAGTTCTTGCTCATTTATTTTAACACGACTGAAAATGAATGTATATTAAAGTAGTTTTTTCTTTGTTCTTCTGTTTTCCAGGCCAGAGAGGGCAGCCACATCTGGAAGATGCACATGGTGAAGGGTCATGAGGGTCTTGGCATTCAGATAACAGGGGGGCGGGGCTCCAGGCGCTCTTCTCAAGGCATCATTATTGCTCATATAGAGAAGGGGGGCGCTATTCACAGGTACCATTAACGCAAATGAATGAGAAGTTTTAATTAGTCAAATGATGAAATGTGCTGATTCTTATCAGGAGGACCAATAAAAGCAGGATTGTTGCGTTTGTAGCTTTATCTTTCCTCTAAAAGGATTTTAGACTCTGTCGGCTCTGTCCATGGCAGAGTGGGTAACCCAGCCCAAACCATCACTCCTCCACTGCCGAGCTAAGAGCTTTTAGATCAGATATCCTGCTGCAAAGATGACATCAACAGCAAACAATTGAAGAATTCCTCCCTCCTTATGACGGTTATCTAGAGCAGCGTTTCCCAGTCGGGGGTTTGAATAGAATTTTATGCAAACATTACATAAATATGGACAATCTATATATTTTTTAATTCATTAAATAAACAAATGGCCAAATGTATTAAAAACTATTCGGTCTATAGTTAAATCACTAATCCATTATTCTCCGTTTCCTGTTCAATAATCCATTGTGACTCAGATGGATCCTAACATCTGAAAGGTTAACAACCTGGGAAATGTTTAGCTTAAAGGAATAGTACACCCAAAACATGATTAGCCTTCATTTTCTACTCACCCCCATGCTGAA